TAGAGATATATAGGATAGGAAGGAGAGAGAGAGAGAGAGAGAGAGAGAGAGAGAGAGAGAGAGAGAGAGAGAGAGAGAGAGAGAGAGAGAGAGAGAGAGAGAGAATGCGGTACAAAGTTTTTAAAAAAAAAATCTTTTCTCAAAGGAAACAAAAGTATGACACAAATCAACAAATGATGAGAGAAAGATCGAAGTTGATAAATGAAAGAACAAGAAATGGCGGAAATGTACAAAGCCCAATTGAAAACGTCACCAGAAGATGTTGATTGCAAGTGGCTGTCGCTAGGCAAGCTTGCCAACAGTTATTGTGAAATGCACTGCTGGGGTAGATTTCATCAGTTTGATCCTTTTCCCCTCTTGGCTTCATTTTCTGAGATTCTTCTTCTTCTTCTTCTTCTTCTTCTTCTTCTTCTTCTTCTTCTTCTTCTTCTTCTTCTTCTTCTTCTTCTTCTTCTTCTTCTTCTTCTTCTTCTTCTTCTTCTTCTTCTTCTTCTTCTTCTTCTTTTTCTTCTTCTTCTTCTTCTTCTTCTTCTTCTTCTTCTTCTTCTTCTTCTTCTTTTCTTCTCTTCTTCTTCTTCTTCTTCTTCTTCTTCTTCTTCTTCTTCTCTTCTTCTTCTTCTTCTTTCTTCTTCTTCTTCTTCTTCTTCTTCTTCTTCTTCTTCTTCTTCTTCTTCTTCTTCTTCTTCTTCTTCTTCTTCTTCTTCTTCTTCTTCTTCTTCTTCTTCTTCTTCTTCTTCTTCTTCTTCTTCTTCTTCTTCTTCTTCTTCTTCTTCTCTTCCACCCTGTACCTTAGCCAAGTGTCGAGGGGAGGAGTAACATTCGTCGATGAGCTCTGTCATAAGCACTAAAAAGACTGACGTTCAATTCTCTGAGACTGTTCTTAATGCCATCAGTCCATCTTTAACCAGGCCTTTCTCTCCCTCTATTCCCATTGTAACTTTTTAGTGTGGCTCGCAGATAGCACCATGGCATTCTTGTTGTTAGGTGTCCAAACCACTTCATTTGTTGTTCTTTGATGACCTGCAAGACTCGCTTTATTCCTAGCATTCGTCTGATTTCGTGATTTCGTATTCTGTCTTTCCTTGAAACTCCTGCATCTCTTCTGTCATTTCATCTCTTTTGTCATAATTTACGTTCATTGAAGGATGTAAGTGTCCAAGTTTGGCACTGATAGCGTAGTGTTGACCAAAAAAAGAGTTCTGATAAGATTCACTTTAGTACGCCGGGGTATCTGCTTGTGTGTCACTTCTCGAGCTAATCTGTTTCTGAGATTTGAGTTTATGATTTTTACGCTTTTGTGTCATTCTGATGACACCGGATGTATTTCAAAGGTCATCGGACTGTCAATGGAGCCGCATCCTACAAAGTAACAGTATATCCTGATTAAAACGTTTTTTCCCTTTTCCTCAAGAATCAAAATCACAGATACCAGATTACAATCAGTCATTTTACTACATAAATTCCTTTGAAGTAAGCATCGTATTGTCCCCTGTCATATTTCACACACAATAAGCGTGCGAGCGAGAGAACGCGCACACACACACACACACACACACACACTATATTGCCCCTGTTACACACACGCACACACACACACACTATATTGCCACTGTTACACACACACACACACACAGAGTTTAGAGAGCGAAAGACCACGTACAGCTTGATAAGACAACTGCAAACACACACACACACACAGACACACAAACACACCATAAAGAGAGAGTTTCCTCGCCTTCAGGCGTATTGGGCATATAGGGCTAGACCTATATTTAATAGACCAATCGGAACTTGGTGGGTAATGTGGTAAATACCACGAAAGCCGCCGTTACTTCCCAGGACTTTTTCTGGTACCCACTCAAGTCTAGGTCGACTTGGGTGTCAATGTTATTTCTTGTTTAAAGTCTCACTACTTTCGGACTTCAACCTTCATCATTCGGAGCGGCAGGCGAGTATCTAGCCGCTACAGCACGGTGGCCACCACATGCCCGTCAGTAGCAAATATAGTTATGTCACAAGCGAACGCACAAGCAGCCACGACCTAAATCCTCGGGCTAAACCTGAAAACCCTTCCCCTGCTCCACTGTACACCGCCCTAAATAGCGGCCTCATTAGGGCAGTCACAAGCACTGATTCTCCTAGTCACCACCAGGGGGCCCATTTACACAGAAGTTAGAATACATTGACTGCCCATAGCAAGCATGTCGTAAAAGGTAACTAAGAATGCTGAAATAGAATCTGATGCGTCAAAGGGTGCAGACATAGCAGAATAGCTGTAAACCACAACATATTGAGCCAACCGCCGTTCTGAAGGCGAACGCAGAAGAAGAAGAAACAAAAAAAAGAAAAATAGGAGGATAAGGGGGTGGAGGAGGATAAGAAGAGAAAGAAGAAGAAAAACAAGAAGATGAAGAAGAAGAAGAAGAAGAAGAAGAAAAGAAGAAGAAGAAGAAGAAGAAGAAGAAGAAGAAGAAGAAGAAGAAGAAGAAAAGAGAAGAAGAAGAAGAAGAAGAAGAAGAAGAAGAAGAAGAAGAGAAGAAGAAGAAGAAGAAGAAGAAGAAGAAGAAGAAGAAGAAGAAGAAGAAGAAGAAGAAGAAGAAAGAAGAAAAGAAGAAAGAAGAAGAAGAAGAAGAAGAAGAAGAAGAAGAAGAAGAAGAAGAAGAAGAAAGAAGAAGAAGAAAAGAAAAGAAGAAGAAGAAGAAGAAGAAGAAGAAGAAGAAGAAGAAGAAGAAGAAAAGAAGAAATAGGGAAGAAGAAGAAGGAAGAAGAAGAAGAAAAGGAAGAAGAGAAAAGAAGAAGTAATGAAGAAGAACAAAGCCTTAAGAAAGCAGTAAAAAAAAGAAGAATTAAAGAAGAAGTGATTGAAGAAGAAGAGTGGAGAAGAAGAAGAAGAATTCGAAGAAGAAGAAGAAGTAAAACTCGACATCTGATCAAAATGTTGAGGTAATTTCTAGGTTCTTAACAAGAACAAGACTGTCCTTGTCCTTCAGAAGAAGAAGAAGAAGCGAAGAAGAAGAAGAAGCAGCTGCGTCCTCTGCATTATCTTAAGCACAACATCGTCGAACAAGAAGTCTGAGAAGTGAACAGAAGTCGTGAAAAGACCTCCAGCAGCGCCTGAAGATGGAACGGGAAGCAGACGGCTCAAGAATACTGAAGAAGAAGAATCTAGAAGACATGGAAGATTTAAACAAACTGCACAGAAGAAGAAGAAGACAGACATGGTGGAGGGATGAACAATACTGCACACAGTTGTATAGACAGACATGGTGGAGGGATGAACAATACTGCACACAGTTGTATAGACAGACATAGTGGAGGGTTGAACAATAATGAACACAGATGTGAAGACAGACATGGTAGACAGTTGAACAATACTGCACACAGTTGTATAGGCAGACATGGTGGAGGGATGAACAATACTGCACACAGATGTATAGACAGACATGGTGGAGATTTAAACAATACTGCACACAAATCTATAGACAGACATGGTGGAGGGATGAACAATACTGCACACCGTTGTATAGGCAGACATGGTGGAGGGATGAACAATACTGCACACAGTTGTATAGGCAGACATGGTGGAGGGATGAACAATACTGCACACAGTTGTATAGACAGTCATGGTGGAGGGTTGAACAATAATGAACACAGATGTGTAGACAGACATGGTAGACAGTTGAACAATATTGCACACAGTTGTATAGGCAGACATGGTGGATGGTTGAACAATACTGCACACAGTTGTATAGACAGACATAATAGAGGGTTGAACAATACTGAACACAAATGTATAGACAGACACAGTAGAGGGTTGAACAATACTGAACGCTAAGGGCCGCGTTAGCGCAGTCAATAGGAGGCTCACTTTCAAATTCCAGCTGCGACTCGCTGCAGCCCACGGTCGGTGTTTGAAACCGGGCGGCTACCGGGATCACCCAGCCTCTAGGAAATGGGTACAGAATTGACACTTTGTGGTAAATGGAGTGCCGTCGCTGCAGCTACAGAGCTACGTGCGAACGGCGACACAGCGGACAATCCTTATCAGCTGTCCGTACTCGTGGCGGAGCACTTATGGTTTATAACCGTGTGCAATGACGCTGGTTCACATCTCCCAACTTAACCTTTTTTTTTTTTTTTTTTTACAATACTGAACACAGATGTATAGACAGACTTGGTGGAGGGCCGAACAATACGAAACACAGATGTATAGGCAGACAGGGTAGACCGTTAAGCAATACTGAACACAGATGTATAGACATACTTGGTGGAGGGTCGAACAATACTGAACACAGATGTATAGACATACTTGGTGGAGGGTCGAACAATACTGAACACAGATGTATAGACATACTTGGTGGAGGGTCGAACAATACTTAACACAGATGTATAGACATACTTGGTGGAGGGTCGAACAATACTGAACACAGGGCCGCGTATAGACATACTTGGTATGAGGGTCGAACAATAAACACAGATGTATAGACTACTTGGTGCAGCCCACGGTCGAACAATACTTAACACAGATGTATAGACATACTTGGTGGAGGGTCGAACAATACTGAACACAGATGTATAGACATACTTGGTGGAGGGTCGAACAATACTGAACACAGATGTATAGACATACTTGGTGGAGGGTCGAACAATACTGAACACAGATGTATAGACATACTTGGTGGAGGGTCGAACAATACTGAACACAGATGTATAGACATACTTGGTGGAGGGTCGAACAATACTGAACACAGATGTATAGACATACTTGGTGGAGGATCGAACATACTGAACACAGATGTATAGACATACTTGGTGGAGGGTCGAACAATACTGAACACAGATGTATAGGCAGACAGGGTAGACCGTTAAACAATACTGCACACGGATGTGCAGACAGACATGGTGGACGACTGAACAATAATAAACACAGATGTATAGACAGACGTGATGAAGGTTGAACAGACAAATAGGTAGAATGACAGACAGGCAGACAGACAGACATGCATTTTAAGACAAGATGGATGGATAACAGAAACAAAAAACTATGGAGTAGAGATAACAGTAACAAGAAACTACAGTGTAGAGATAACAGTAACAAGAATCTACGGAGTAAAGATAACAGTAACAAGAAACTACAGTGTAGAGATAACACTAACAAGAAACTACAGTGTATAGATAACAGTAACAAGAAACTACGGAGTAGAGATAACAGTAACAAGAAACTATGGAGTAAAGATAACAGTAACAAGAAACTACGGAGTAAATATAGCAGTAACAAGAAACTACAGTGTAGAGATAACAGTAACAAGAATCTACGGAGTAAAGATAACAGTAACAAGAAACTACAGTCTAGAGATAACAGTAACAAGAATCTACGGAGTAGAGATAACAGTAACAAGAAACTACGGAGTAAAGATAACAGTAACAAGAAACTACGGAGTAAAGATAACAGTAACAAGAAACTACAGTGTATAGATAACAGTAACAAGAATCTACGGAGTAGAGATAACAGTAACAAGAAACTACGGAGTAAAGATAACAGTAACAATAAACTACGGAGTAAAGATAACAGTAACAAGAAACTACAGCGTAAAGATAACAGTAACAAGAAAATATAGAGTAGAGATACAGCCTTTATAGCGAAAAACAGCTTGATCTGTTTCCCAAATGGAAATGTCATAAACCTTGCCCACGAGTTGCTTCGATACCTACCTGCTTGACACTGTGTCTTACCTCACTGTGGCTTTTACTCGAGCAATCACGTTATAGCTTTAAATTGTTTTCCTACCGTCAAATTTGTCTCTCACAAACACAGTGGAATTTAAACATTGGTCATTCCACTTAAGAACGGATTAATGACTAGTAATTTTAATGACCTATATAATGTTCATGAAAACATCTGTTTTTATCACACTACCCAAGAAATCAAAAGTTTTTGATTGTGAAGATTACAGAACTATTAGCCTAATGAGTCACGTAACTAAGTTAATCTTGAAGATAATACAAGCAGGAATTCAAAATAAAATAGAGAAAGAAGTTTCTGAAGAGCAATTTGGATTACATAAAAACAGTGGTACTCGAGAGGCCATAATTTATCTAAAGATGCTAACTGAAAAATATATAGAAGTTCAGAAAAATATTTATGCATGTTTTATAGATTACAAAAAAGCTTTCGACAGAGTGCAACATGAACAACTAATTGCAGCTCTTCAAAATATAGGACTAGATGGAAAGGATATCAGACTTATTAGAAACTTATACTGGGAGCAACAAGCAACAGTAAGATATTACAACATCTGCTCACCCCAGATAGAGATCAAGAGAGGAGTAAGACAAGGATGTGTGCTGTCGCCTAGCCTTTTCAATTTATGTACAGAAATCATTTTTAAAGAAATTGTAGAATTACCAGGACTGCACATCAATGGTAGAATAATAAACAATCTGAGATATGCTGACGACACAGTCTTGCTAGCAGAGAGTGAGCAGGAGTTGCAAGACCTAGTGGAGCAAGTAAACAGAAAGAGTGCAGCATTTGGATTAGATATTAATTTGAAAAAGACAAAAACCATGATATTTAGCAAATAAAATAATCAGCTAACAATGAATATCACAGTGAACGGGATGAAATTGGAACAAGTTAAACATTTCTTATATCTTGGACAAGTAATACCATGTGACGGCAGAATTGAAACAGAAGTCAAGAAAAGAATAGGGATGGCCAAAAACATTTTTCAACAACATGCAAAAGTTACTGACATCAAGAGAAATAAGCAATACATTAAAAATTAGAATTGTCAAATGTTATGTATTCTCAACCTTACAGTATGGCACAGAGACATGGACAATTAACAAACAACTGGAAAATCGTATCAATTCTTTGGAGATGTGGATATACAGAAGATTAGGTCGTATTTCATGGAAACAAAAGCTATCAAATACAGAGCTACTGAGGAAATTGTGAATGAAAAGAGAGTTGCTAGGTGAAATAAAAAAGAGACACGTTAAATATTTTGGCCACATTAAAAGTCATAACAGTATTGTAAAGATCATCCCAGAGGGAAAGGTTCAAGGTAGGCGAGCAAGAAGCAGACAGCGTTACAAGTGGGGGGATAACATCAAGAGATGGACGAACAGCAGTATGAGTGAGTGTACATCAAGGGCAAGAGACAGGGCTTGTTGGAGATCTATTGAAGCCAACCTTCATTGTGGAGACGGCACCTGAATGATTGATTGATAATGTTACGTCAGCGACTGTGGCTTAGGCGTAACGGACGCGCTCTGTAATGCCGGGGTGGCGGGTTCGATACCAGCTGCGGCCCTTGTGCTTTGCGTTGGTTTCGACAGTGGTATCAAGACGCCAACAGTCCAGAAGCAATGGCAAACTACTGGACGTAAACTTGCCTAGGAAAACTTCAACAGCCAAAAATATGCAGGGGTTGGTTTTGCAACGTCCTGTAAAGGATACGCAACTATCTTTTTTATATAATGTTAAAATATTAAACTTATCGTTTGCGTCTGTGGCTTAGGCGTTGCGAACACGCTTCGTAATTCCAGGGTGCCGGGTTCGATCCTAGCTGCGGGCCTTGCGTCCTGCATTGGTTTCGGCAGTGCTATCAGTGCTAACCGTCCAGAAAACAACGGCAAACTACTGGACATAAGTAAACTTGCCTAGAAAAACCACAACAACCAACACGCTATTCCCCTGACACTTCGCTACAGTACAAGTTGGAAGAGAAGAAAAAGTAGACGAAGGGGGGAAAATAGAGTTCCACTGTATTTCTTTCTTGTGACTGTGAGTGTGAGTGTGTTTGTGTGGGCGTGTGTGAAAAAGAGAGAGCGTGTGTTTGTGTGTGTGTGTGTGTGTGTGTGTGTGTGTGTGTGTGTGTGTGTGAGCGAGTGCGTGGGTCAGTCAGCCTATAACAATTATTATTTAAGTTACTCATTGCGGTAATATACCCCCCAGACAGTGTTAATCCCTAAATCAACATACCATATTCAGTCGGCTATATTTAGGATTTACTAACTGACAAAGAAATCTTTCTAATGACTAAATGTGTTTGTCTCGTCTATGTCACACCACATCCTCCTCGTAGATTTATTTTTCCCCTGATTGTCTCAGTGTTATTCTTAGTTGTTTGACTTCTTCGATCATGGCAAAATGTCCGCCGGACTTAACTTTTTTTTGAACCTAAACTAAAACGGAGTTTAAGAAAGTGACCAGACACAATTTTTTTTTTAAATGAAGAGGAGAATTCGAACTGTTATGTTATTGAAAACGACAAGAACAACTTTGACCGGACATTTGGAGACTGAACTATTCTGGGAAAATGTTACGAGAAACACGGTTTTCCTAATGTAATAAAGAAACAAGACTTTCAGGCTTGGCAACAAACAAGGACACGGTGACACACTAAACAGAGGGCTTGGTAATAGACAAAGACACGGTGACACACTGAACAGAGGGCTTGGTAATAGACAAAGACACGGTGACACACTGAACAGAGGGCTTGGTAATAGACAAAGACACGGTGACACACTGAACAGAGGGCTTGGTAATAGACAAAGACACGGTGACACACTGAACAGAGGGCTTGGTAATAGACAAAGACACGGTGACACACTGAACAGAGGGCTTGGTAATAGACAAAGACACGGTGACACACTGAACAGAGGGCTTGGTAATAGACAAAGACACGGTGACACACTGAACAGAGGGCTTGGTAATAGACAAAGACACGGTGACACACTGAACAAGAGGGCTTGGTAATAGACAAAGACACGGTGACACACTGAACAGAGGGCTTGGTAATAGACAAAGACACGGTGACACAATGAACAGAGGGCTTGGTAATAGACAAAGACACGGTGACACACTGAACAGAGGGCTTGGTAATAGACAAGGACACGGTGACACACTGAACAGAGGGCTGGGTAATAGACAAAGACAGGGTGACACACTGAACAGAGTGCTGGGTAATTGACAAATACAGGATGACACACTGAACAGGGGGCTTGGTAATAGACAAAGACAGGATGACACACTGAACAGAGGGCTTGGTAATAGACAAAGACAGGGTGACACACTGAACAAAGTGCTTGATAATAAACAAAAACAAGGTGACACACTGAACAGAGGGCTTGGTAATAGACAAAGACAGGGTGACACACTGAACAGAAGGCTTGGTAATAGACAAAGACAGGGTGACATACTGAACAGAGGGCTTGGTAATAGACAAAGACACGGTGACACACTGAACAGAGGGCTTGGTAATAGACAAAGACACGGTGACACACTGAACAGAGGGCTGGGTAATAGACAAAGACATGGTGACACACTGAACAGAGGGCTTGGTAATAGACAAAGACACGGTGACACACTGAACAGAGAGCTTGGTAATAGACAAAGACACGGTGACACACTGAACAGAGGGCTTGGTAATAGACAAAGACAGGGTGACACACTGAACAGAGGACTTGGTAATAGACAAAGACACGGTGACACACTGAACAGAGGGCTTGGTAATAGACAAAGACACGGGTGACACACTGAACACAGAGGGCTTGGTAATAGACAAAGACACGGTGACACACTGAACAGAGGGCTTGGAATAGACAAAGACACGGTGACACACTGAACAGAGGGCTTGGTAATAGACAAAGACACGGTGACACACTGAACAGAGGGCTTTGGTAATAGACAAAGACACGGTGACACACAAAACAGAGGGCTTGGTAATAGACAAAGACAGGTGACACACTGAACAGAGGGCTTGGTAATAGACAAAGACACGGTGACACACTGAACAGAGGGCTTGGTAATAGACAAAGACACGGTGACACACTGAACAGAGGCTTGGTAATAGACAAAGACACGGTGACACACTGAACAGAGGGCTTGGTAATAGACAAAGACACGGTGACACACTGAACAGAGGGCTTGGTAATAGACAAAGACACGGTGACACACTGAACAGAGGGCTTGGTAATAGACAAAAGACACGGTGACACACTGAACAGAGGGCTTGGTAATAGACAAAGACACGGTGACACACAAAACAGAGGGCTTGGTAATAGACAAAGACAGGGTGACACACTGAACAGAGGGCTTGGTAATAGACAAAGACACGGTGACACACTGAACAGAGGGCTTGGTAATAGACAAAGACACGGTGACACACTGAACAGAGGGCTTGGTAATAGACAAAGACACGGTGACACACTGAACAGAGGGCTTGGTAATAGACAAAGACACGGTGACACACTGAACAGAGGGCTTGGTAATAGACAAAGACACGGTGACACACTGAACAGAGGGCTTGGTAATAGACAAAGACACGGTGACACATTAAACAGAGAGCTTGGTAACAAATAAGGACACTTTGACACTAAACAGATGGCTTGGTATCAAATGTTGACTGTTTTTTCTGGAATTCCATAATGTCGTTAAAAAAATATGGTCAACATAATTGCTCTCTTCTATAAAGACTTTTCCTGCAGTATAAAAAAATTACAATACATCTTTCCCAGTAAAGACAGGTGTAAGACAGGGATGTGTTATGTCATCTCTCCTCTTTAACCTTGTGATTGATTGGATACTAAAGAACACAGTAGACAGAAC